TTGGCCTTTCACAGCTGACAGAATTAGCAGCCTTTGCAGATTCTTGCCATCATAGGACAAACAGTCTAAGCTGACTCTGTGCTTTACTGAAACACAGCTAATTTTCTGGAAACTGATTCTGAAAGAACATTTGTGTAAATGTAAGTTGTAAGATCTGGGAAAGTCCAAGGCAGCATTTCACCAGAGAAAAGCAGTAGAAAGAGAATTCCTAGAAAGCATATAATGATAAAGAATCCAAAAGAAATAACACGGATGAGGAGTGTATTATGGTCCTAGTGGAAACGATTAATCAAATTTTGATCAGAGGTAAAGTTTTATCCAAATCAGGAACTAGAACAAAACTGGAGAATAACATTTAAAGAGATGACCAATGTATATTTAGGCAACAAGTTGCTTATTTTATGCAGGCCAAAAGATTACTTGTGAACTGAGTACCTTAATAGAAGGCGCAGAAGGACAAGGAAGCAACAGACTGGTCAAATAACAGAGTTCTCAGAAAATGTTTACCAAATGGATGTCTGTAACAAAAACGAACAAGAAGCACTTCCTTCCTGTATCTACCAGCCATCCTAACCACAAGGTCACCAGATCTTTTTTAGTCCAGTTCAGGGGTATAGAATTGTGGATGTTATCAGTGTACAGTGTTGATGGCCTGGACAATGAAGCAAAACCATTTACTTTCGCAAACCAACTGCAATTTTATGTACAACTGCAATTTTATGTCTCCAGCATAAATTTATGCAATGTTATCCATATTATCCAACATTAATTTATGCAATTCCCAACACATGCATACTTTATATACCTGAAACATATCTGTGCTGCTGTCATGCGTATACTCAACCACCACTGTTTGAACTCGAGACAAGGTATAGGATATGCTGTGCTGGTCCTTGTTGCTTATTGCCTAGTAAAAAGGGAAAAGAGGGGCTATTTCAGTAATATAAAACAATAAAATATATTGATTAATAAAACATTACAACAGAGTACAATCCTACTAGGAGAAATGATTCATGATTGGGCAAATGAGGAAATTAGAAAATTTATTCCCATCTCATCTTTCTACTTCCCCTAGTTAAGATACACCTTGGCTACATTATTTTAGTCTATTTGAAGAGTCTATTTAAAATCCTACAATTACTATAAAAATCCTATGATACACAGCTCAAACTGTGATATTTAAGAACATGCACAAACAGGTAGTTGGCAGTTTCAAGGAACAAAACTTTTAAAGAGCATCTTCTCCCAGTGCTAACACTTAGCTTTTTGTGACTGTTCCTTTGTAATGCAAGAAAACCAGTGATTCTTCACATGACTCTCTCCCCCACTTTTCCATCCTAAAGGCAGCTGTTCTTTTGAGCAATACTGCTAACTAAGCATGTTATGGTTGTTACTAATGCCGTCTAGCCTAAGTATGCTGGTCCCTCCCCATTCTCATGCTGTGAACCAGTCACTCCCAAATTGATGCCCTGCAATATGACTACCAACACTCTCATTCCTGCCACACGGCTGCTGGCTGTGGCATTATTCATTGCAAAGGAGACCTGGACGCATATGCTATCTATCCAATTCCTCCCTTACTCTATCCCCTGTGCCTCTGTGAAATGGAAGCTTTAGAACATGCCTGAGTTGTAGATTTTACAAGGAATTCCAGCCCTTAATAGATAGACTGCCTGGCTGTTCAGAACAATGGTATTTAGAATTTTTCCTAAAAGATAAGTTCCCTTACTTTTATAATTGGGAACACTATACCCATTTCAGATCAAAACCAGATTTTGCTCAAATGCCTTATATGTTACAGAAACCAGCTGAGGTTTTCATACTTGAATTTTTTAACAGGCTGGTGGGGTCTAGGAAGAGGGCCTTTTCTGCCATGGCCCCCGCCCTGTGGAACAACTTACCACCTGAGGTGA